AGTAATCTCTTTCTGCATTATCTAAAAGTATGTTTCCATTTACTTGAAGATAATGTTACATTTAGTGAGATCCATTACTACCACTTCTGTTGTATATGCTCTTCAATTTGATTTTAATAAATCAGGCTTGTGCCTCATCCAGATGTTTGCCTCCGGGGTGAACAATAGTACTCTTTTTGTGATGGTCTAAGACTCCATCCTTATCTGAGGGAGAAAGGGAGTCATTCTTCACAAGATATTTTCTGTATAACCACATCACCAATAACTTTGCAAACATCTAAAGGTAGACATGGCATACAAAAAGCTCTTGCCACTTGTACAAATGGCTCAGATTTTGTGTCAGAATTTTTTTTTCCAAATAGTCTGAGGGCACCAGTTATATCATTTGAGTCCCCCGAACTTTGCTGGAGACATTGGCCTGGGATTAGAATTTAGAAATTCTGACTCCTAGTAACTTGCTAGGTAATGGTTGTGGTCATATCTTTTTCTTTAGCTTGAGAGAATTTACAAGCTTTGTATACTTAAATGATCTGGGACTCGTCTACCTTTTTATTCCATCACAACAGTGAAGAACCTAAGGAATGCTTTTACTTTGCAGAAGAATGTTTCCAGTGCAGGCCTCTTATTTTAATTTGCTGCTTTGGAAAATCCACCTGTGCCTATTTGGTCCTGTAGGTTTTCATTGATTGATGGAACATAGGTTAATGACTAATTTTCTCATAATTTTGTTTTATAGTCATGTTGTAGCAACGTTTTTACTACTGATTATAGGTATCTTTGTCTTTAATATTTGCATTGTAGTTTTTAAATACTGTTAGAAGTGTTTTTCAAAATTTTGGTAAATAAGTGAGAGAGATTAAATTTCCTTCTAATCCAGGGGTGGGCAAACTTTTTGGCCCGAGGGCCACATGTGGGTAGGGAAATTGTATCCTGGGCCATGAATGTAGGGTTAGGGCAGGGGTGTGTGGCATGCAGGAAGGGGCTCAGGGTAAGGGCGCGGGGTGCAGGAGGGGGCACAGGGCAGGGAGCTGGGGTGCAGAGTGTGGGAGGGGGCTCAGGGCAGGGGGTTGGGGTGCGGGCTCCAGCCTGGTGCCGCTTACCTCGAGCAGCTCTGAGATGGCAGCGGCACACATTGGGGCTAAGGCAGGCTCCCTGCCTGCCCTGGCCCCACGCTGCTCCCAGAAGTGGCCGGCATGTCCTGCAGTGACTCCTGGGGATGGGGTGGGGCAGGCGGCTCCGCCCTGCCCTTGCCTGTGGGTACCAATCCCAAAGCTCCCATTGGCTGCGGTTCCCCGTTCCCAGCCAACGGGAGCTGCAGGGGGTGGTGCCTGCAGGCAAGGGCAGTGCATGGAGCCCTCTGCGCGCGCCCTCTCCCTTCCCCCCCCAGGGGCCTCAGGGACATGGTGCCGGCCTCTTCCGGGAGCGGCTTGGAGTCAGGGCAGGCAGGGAGCCTGCTTTAGCCCTGTTGCGCCATAGGACTGACAATCCCGCGGGCCAGATTGAAAGCCCTGATGGGCTAGATCCGGCCCACTGGCCGTAGTTTGCCCTTCCCTGCTCTAGTCAAATGTTTAGATATGTTCGCTTTTCAGTCTTTACAATTCAAATATGTCAGTCTTTTAATCACTTTTACTCTTTTCTGAGTTCCCATTCATTTTTGTTGTTGAGGGTGTCCAAAACTAACTGGATTATTCTGGGGATAGTCTTGATGGTGATTTCCCAATTCTGATATTTATGTGCATAGTACAGCCCAAAACTGCATTGGTTGCCAATTCATAGTCAATTACTGTGTGTTGTCATCACTAAATTATATTAGCTTTGAAATTTAAAGGATTTTAACAGTTGGATTGCATCATTGTTGTCATGCTGTCAAGCTCATAACTCCTTATGTAGTCTAGATTTCATCTAAAATATTTTTATAACAGTTTCAAGGTGAAAGCTGAAACTTTCCACCTCTTTTGAAAACTCATACTCTTAAATTACATTCAAGTAGTGTCTACAGAGGAATGTTGTCTTTTAAAATAATCTGTTTCTCAGCTTTTGGTGTCATTGCATATTCATTCTTTTCTTTTTATCTGAAAGAGAGATCTCTGATTAAAGTTCTTTTGATCTTATTTCAGACTTTACTGTTAAATAACTCAGGTTAACATCCTAGTTCGTGCTTCAAAACTTCCTTTGCCTATATCCTCAGTGAACACTGAACTTCTAGAAGAGTGAGACATATCTGTACAGTGCTTTCTTCTACCACTCAAATAGTGGGTACAGTTGCAAATTAGCTGGTAATGGAACTTTTATATTCATATTTGGAAGTGTTTGAATGCAAGTGACTGCTTCTCAATTATAAAGAGTGCCTGGAAATCCTGGCAACAGTGAGGCTTCCTTGAACAGTAACTGGAATCTGTTAATTTGATAAAATTTGTGTGTAACGGAATGACACTCAAACCATTACAGACTACTCTTGATGTTGTTTTATATTTTTAACTTAAGTCGTATAGAGAGAAATCTTATCGGAAACCTTCATAGCCATAACTAGCTTTTTGGATGCATCCTCTTATCAGGCAGGACTACAGTAAAACTCAGGCTGACATTCAGCAGTCATGTCACAGTTTTAATATTAAAGTCAAAGTATCCACCTTCTTGTAATTTGATATAAAATGGGATTGGTAATTTTAACAAGCTCAAAAAAGAGTTAGCAGACCTGTGCAGTTTAAGTTACCTAGGCACAGCAGTTGCCAGACATAACTTGAATATACACCTCTACCCCGATATAACGCAACCCAATATAACACACATTTGGATATAATGTGGTAAAGCAGTGCTCCGGGGGGGATGCTCACTCCAGCGGATCAAAGCAAGTTCAATATAATGTGGTTTCACCTATAATGTGGTAAGATTTTTTGGCTCCCGAGGACAGCGTTATGTTGGGGTAGAGATGTATAATATTCACCCCTGCCCCTTTAGCTAGAGAAATACAGGAGCAAACAGGAATCTTTTTTTACAGAAAGGGGAATGTGGAGCAAAACCAGGAGTTAGGATTTAAGCTTCCATATCTTCTGGTTTTAAAGGAAAAACTTCTGAATGGGTTCAGATAGGGTGTTGTCATTCTGAGTCTGCAGAAAGACCGCTCCAGTACCTCTGTAGCTGATTTCCCAAGGAACCTTAAAATTGACAAGACTTGTTACTTCTATTGGTTCTGTTCACCCTGTCAGTGCTGCTACTGACACACAAAACCATGAACACCAGCAAAGGCAGCCACTGGATCTGCTTGCAGAGCAAACATTGTTGCTTCAAGGAGGCATTCAATAAAGAATCAATGCAATGCTTATTGTGGATGGGTTATGTATAGAGGTTGGAAAATCTGATCTTTTTCATACTTAGAAAAAATTTGTTCTGAAACTATGGCAGATGTTTGCTATCTGCTGGCAAGCTGAAAAGACCCGTGATTGTTTATCCAAGTCTGTTTGAAATGGTTTCCTGGTTGTAAACTTGCTTACTCATTTGTGCAAGGTAGAGTAACAGAATACAAATTGCATCTACTTAAACTGTTAAAGATTATCATTTTGTTTAGATTTCATCTGATGTGTTCTCCGTTTCTAGTGCAAATTTAAATGAGCATCCAATTTTTGACTTGTAAATTCAGAATGATTCTCTAAAACATCATCCAGTTATTGGACTAAATTTGAGAATACCATATTTTTGCTTATAATTATAGGGGAAGCAGCTCACTACCCCTATATTGCGGTTACTAGTCACTTTTCATTATTAAAGATTCTTGCACTCTCCATTTTGTATGTAATTTATATAAGTTTATCTGTACGTAATCTTGTTAAGCACTGAAGTATGCTTTAGTATACCACATGGACATTTGGAGCAGGTTGAATAATCAAAGCATTTTTCTGATACATCTTGTTCAACTAAACATGAATTGTGTGAGTATTTTATTAATTACGTGCCTGAAATATTCAGTTTACATCTCAATTTTGCAGTGAGTGCCTCATGGGAATACCTCTGCAGAATCCTTTTGTAGTGACTGGAACTCTTCCTGGGTACAGAGGCTGCCCAGAAGGAGCTCATTGCAGGATTAGTTCACAACTTTTTCAATGAAACATTCAGAGCCAGATCTTCAGAAGCACTCATCACCCAGCAGTTCCTGTTGTGCAATGGAGCTACTGAATTATGAGCTCCCTTAAATATCTGACCCTTTGTTTTTGATATTTTTTTCATTCTTTGTTCACCTCTGCTGACATAAGTTTATGAATGAAGCTTTGCAGTTCAGATCTCTGAAATGTGTATCTATATTTGCTGCTGTAACATTATCCTGTGCTTTCAAGTATTTACATTTTACAAAGCTTTATAGGGCTCCATGTATCACTTAATCATTACATTTTTGAAAACAGTGAAGAAAGCAAACCTGAATGTTTTTCAGGAATAATATGCTCACACTCATTCGCACTGATTATGGTTGCATCCAAATAATAAAACGTTAACTGAGACATTAAGTATAATGGAAAGAAATAAAAATGTGTGTTCTTTTTTTTCCCCACCCAGGAAGATGTTGATATTCCCAATAGACGTGTTCTGATTACAGGAGCTACTGGGCTTCTTGGCAGAGCTGTGTACAAAGAATTTAATGAAAACAATTGGCATGCAGTTGGCTGTGGATACAGTAGAGCTCGACCCAAATTTGAACGGATTAATCTTCTGAATTCTGTTGAGGTTCATGACATTATCCAGGATTTTCAGGTAAGATTACTGGAAGGCAAGAAGAAGCAGACAACTTGCCATATTGCACTGGAGACTATGTGTATCCTTCGTTAAACAAATAAGTTTAAGGTGCCTTACATCATTTAGCTCATATAATCCCAGTGGCACTCCAAAATCCTCTGAGGTAGTAGTTTGGAAGAAGATGGCAGTTTTGTTGTTCCCCTAATTTGTACAGTGACTACTCTGTGTTTGTGTAATATCCCTAGATACAAAATCAACAACAAGTCAGTGTAAACACACACATTTGGTAGTTAAATAAAAAGCTGTTACATTTCTGTAATGATTTGTATGGAGACACTGCAATGTTACAATAAGGTTTCATTGCACTAAAGATACAGAATAATTATTTGTATATCTTGTTTCTGTCATGGCAGAAATCTCCTTGTAACAGTCAATGCTGTGTTTCACAAACTTCCAAGCTGTTTCACAGCTTCCAGGGAATAACTTTTTTAAACACTTATTCTAGAATAAATAGGGACCTAGCCTAGAAAAGAGTTATAAACCTCTTGTGCCTGGTCTACACCTGCCAAGCAAATCGTTTATGAATTCTGCATGAATACCATTTAAATCTAATTTGGTTAGCATTGTTTAATTACCATTGTGGATGATTGGGTATTGAGTCTAATCCATATCATCTTTAACACTCAGATGAGAACAAAACTCCTTGCTGTAAGATAGATATTATTGAGGGCCATGACTACAAAATTACTGAATGAGATTCTTAGATATTTATTGTAAAATCTTAAGGCAGCTTTATTCTATTGCATTTCCAAAGGAAAGAGAGCTCTTTGAGATTTCACAATAAATGATGATTGTTGTGGAGCAGTGCCACAATTAAATTATAATACTATTTAGTTTCTCTGTAGATGACAGACTTGGTTTCTATGTTGAGGGCACAATTGCTATTTTTTTTATTTTGTTTCTTCATTAAAATTGAGTCTTTAATTTTCAGCCTCATGTGATAGTGCATTGTGCTGCTGAGAGAAGACCAGATGTTGTAGAAAGTCAAGCAGATGCTGTTTCTCAGCTCAATGTGACTGCTTCAGGGAACTTAGCAAAAGAAGCAGGTAAAGAGACAATGAGATGGATTCATTTTTTTTGCCAGGATACTGCATTAATTTATACAGTGGCATAAGTATGCATAACACTTCACACTTAAACAGCCAAGATCCATCATTGCCTCAACAAGCTTTCTATCTAGCTTATGTAGGTGAAGACAACACATGTGTATGTGTGGAGGATTAGCAAAGTGACAAAGTGAGGGAATGAAGGGGTGAGAAGGCAAAGGGGATAGTATTGAATCTAGAACATGCATTTTTTTTCCATCCATGAATGTAGTTTTGTACTGAAAGTATGAATTATAGTGAATTTGAAATAGAGTACAAATGTCTTTAGGTGCAATGAATAGCAATTTCCCCCCTTTCTCTCTAAAGGCTCATAGTAAGTTTTCTTTATTTCCCCCCCCCCCCCCCACATCTTTTATCTTAGCTGGAGTTGGAGCATTTCTGATCTACATTAGTACAGACTATGTGTTTGATGGAACAAATCCTCCGTATAAAGAGAGTGATGCACCAAATCCCCTAAATCTTTATGGTAAAACTAAATTAGAAGGAGAAAAGGCAGTCCTTGAAAATAATGAAGGTAAGAATACAATTGAAGTTTTTTTCTTCTCACTTTGTTACAGATGAGCTAATAGGTCATATTAAATTAATAAAATCATAGAATCTAGATTTGAAAAAGACCTATTAGAACATCTAATCTAACTTCCTGTCCCTGTGGGATTGTTTCCTCTTTCCTACCAGTGGAATCTAATTTTCTTTGCTGGTGTTCCTGAACTCCGTAGCTGCCTTTGTATTATTTCTATCCTAATAGTGTTTGCAAAACCTCCCAATTTAGTATCATCTCTGAATTTTATTAAGATGCTGTTTGCTCCCTCTTCTGGATTGGTAATGAAGGTAAAACTGGACCCAACACTAGACACCTTCCCCAACTCAGTACTTTGCTGTGTTTCATAACCCTTTGGTTATGGTCTTTCAATCAGTAATCAGTCTGTAGCAGTATTCCTATGTAAGCAGATTTAAGTTGATTTTGAGTAAGATATCATAATACATCGAATCAATTGTTTTACTAAAATGCAAATAGTATATGGATCACTTTCAACTATTAAGTCTGTAATTCTATAATAAAAGAAACCAATCAAGTTTGTGTTGCAAGATATTTATATATTTGTATTGTGAATACTTCTATTTACAATTAGGTTTTTAGTGGCTTTTCTTAGATTTTTGTTTGTTTGTTTGAAGCAGTGAGAGATCACTTTGCTTCCTTTTAAAAAAACAAAAAAACCCAACAACCCAAAATGGTTCTTTGTTCTTTCTTCACTGTCTCAGTTTTGATAACCTGTCAAAACAGAGGGTCAAAGCAAATGGTAATTCCCTTGCTATCTTAGGGAGTATATCATCCAGGCAGCAGTCTTGTATATAGTCACGCTTTGCAAGTGTTCGTTAATGAAAAAATCTCTTATACTGTCTCAGCAACTTATATTATGATGATCTTCACTTCCTAATTGCCTAAATTTACATATTTTCTTTGATGATGATTTTTTTTTAAAGTAGCCACTTGAGTTAATTTAATTCCCTCTGTTGACTAATTTCTCACTTTCTCTGCAATATTGTCCCCCATCCCCTCCTACTCCCCACCATGGTTCCCTTGTGAGATGCCTTTTTTCCCCCTCTCATTCTTTTTATATTGTCCTTGTCTTTTCTCTGCAAGTCTTGGGTATTCACCTTTAGGTGTCTCTCCCTGTCCATTAACAGTACAGCTCACTGGCATTATAAACACTTTGAATACAGGTATTAGCTATATAAATGTCTGCTTTATACAAAAAGGAATAGGTGTTTTTTGGTGTAATTTTAGCAACTCTAATTTACTGTATATAAATGTTCTCAGTTCTATATGAAATTTGAAAACTTCATATTGACTAAAAATGAGATGACAGCAGACCGTACACAATCACAGTTAATACTGGTTTTCTTTTAGGTGTCTGAATATATGTAATGTTTACCAAATGTCTAAAACAATTTTTATTCACATTCTGAAATTGGCTTAGGGTTATTCTCAAGGGTTCATTAGGTCCTAGCTATTCATAGTTTCCTTTTAACCCTTTAAAAATATATTTTTCCTCTTTAGGTGCTGCAGTGCTCAGAATTCCTATCTTATATGGGGAAGTAGAAAATCTGGAAGAGAGTGCTGTGACTGTTATGTTTGATAAAGTGCAGTTCAGTAACAAATCAGCCAATATGGACCATTGGCAACAGAGATTTCCCACCAACATCAAGGATGTAGCCTGTGTTTGCCGGCAGCTATCAGAGAAGAGAATGTTGGTGAGAAATTTTGTTTTTAATTTTCCTTTCCCTGCTGTGGTACAGTTCAGTATCAAATTGAAGGTTCTGGTTCTAATTTTCAGTGCACTGGGCTGAGCCTCTGTTACTTCAATAACCGCTTCTCTGTCCATGACCCTCCATGAGTGTTGTGCTACTTGGGAAATGATGAAATTGTAAGTTGCAAGGATGACAGTGGGAGAGCAGGACACACAGCTTTCTTAGCTGTTTGCGCACAAGAAATTATAATGACCATGAATCTTACCGTCTCCAGGACTAAAAATGCAAGTCATCAGTTCATCACTGTAGTATTTCTGCAATAAATTGTACAAAAAAACACAAAGGGAAGAAAATTTAAGATCAACGTTGATTAGACTTCATGGTGGACACAGTTCTTTAAGATACTCATGCAGTGGTGCTGAGTGTGGTATAAAATATTTGATGGAGCTGCAGAGAGACAGAAGGGGGTGGATATTGATAGGTCGGGGTTTCAGAGAAACTGTAAATGCTCCAATTTCTCTGAAATGGAGCACGAGCTCTCTACCATCTTGTTACTTTCTTATACAATCCTCATTAAGCCGCCACTACAGAGCTCTTCCAGCTGAGTTGTCCGAGTAGGACCATGGAGGAGGTATTCATATGTGCAGATAACCCTGGTAATAACATTTAGCTGCTGTAGACAGACTCCAGCTGAGAAGGTAAGAAGGCCAAAGAGAAGCTTGGGGAAGCACTCCCCTGTAACAAGTTTCAAACATGCTGGGCCCAGGAGTGCATTTTGGGGCTCAAAATCCAGGAAGCATTAACTGAATTTTCTCTAATGATCCCAATTTCAAACAAACACAGTTCAGGGGAAATAAGGGCTCAGAGGGCTAGCCAGGAGGCAGTAGCTCCCAGTTTAAGAGGAAGCAGCCCAGAATCTTTATGCAGAGTGCACACTTCAGAGTTGTGCAGGCACAGTCAGTTAATCTGTCCATTGTGCGCACTTCTAGACTGTACATATTCAATGGATGGTTTTCAAACTCTCATAGTTCTGCAAAACCAAAATAAGTTGGTTTTTCCACTCCTCCTCCCCCCCCACCCCAAACCTGGCAGAAGTACAGCTCTCCAGAGAGCTACTTACATGTCCAAGAGCCATCTTTCAACCTTCAGCTGTTTCTAACTATCCCAGTGCCATCACTCTTCTAAAAACTGCAGTTAGAATTTTTTAAAATGGTAAGTGTATTTTTCCAATTTAACTCAAAACTGGCAGGCATAATTTCCCCCCCAAAAAATATTGATGGGAACCATGCATGGAAAAATTCATGTTGAAATGCAAAATTGTAACTTTTCAGCAAGCTGCAAACATGTGGAAATGCTAAACTGAAATTGTCTTGCAATATTAGCTTTGGCGGTCACTACCCAGAAATCGGTATGTGTGAGGTGACAAGTAAATTGACTCAAAGTGTGGTATACTGCACAGCCAGCCATATTATGTGGACAGGATTGGACTTGTCAACACCTATATATATAAAAAGTTATGCCTTTGTTCAGTCTGAGTACTTCTACATCGCCTCATTTGAAGTGAGGGAGAAGAGGGTTCATGGTGTCTGTCACACTTGCATTATTTGAATTTTGATAAATGATTGGCTTAGAATGGATTTTTCTATACATTTAACTTTTTATGTCATGTGTCATCTTTAAGAGCGCATTCGATTCATGCACAGTTGAGTCAAGCGTATTCAGTGTCTCTGAAAAGTCAGGCCAAATATGCGTAGTATCAGGACTGTGCCCGTCCCACTGATAGCTTTATAAGGGCTACATTTTTCACTTCCCAAACATCTGCTCAGTCTCTACTCTGGAAATATATATTAATTCCAGAAATATTTAAATTAATTATTAACTTGTTTTTCAGGATGGCATCATCTTGTTTGAATGTCGGCTTGTACATTCTGTTTCTGTAAAAGAGCCAGCCTAACCCTTCATCTGTGCTTGTTTCTTTCTAGGATCCATCAATAAAAGGAACATTCCACTGGTCTGGTAATGAACAGATGACCAAGTATGAAATGGCCTGTGCTATAGCAGATGCTTTCAACCTTCCCAGCAGCCACTTGAGACCAGTAAGTAATGTTGAGGCTATACAAAAGTATAGAAATTGCTGAATGCTTTCATTTGAGCCACTTTCTTGTACTGAAAATACAAGTGGGCCACTGCTCCTGATAGTATGAACAATTACATCTTAGTATTGCAATAGGAAGAGTCCCAAAAATCCTCAGTATAGTATGATGTATTGCCAACAACATTGTCAGATATCTTCTACTGCAAGGAAATGACAGCTGCTAGAACAACAAGGAGTCTGGTGGCACCTTAAAAACTAACAGATTTATTTGGGCATAAGCTTTCGTGAGTAACAACCTCACTTCTTCAGATGCATAGAGTGAAAGTTACAGATGCAGGCATTATATACTGACACATGGAGAGAAGGGAGTTACTTCGCAAGTGGAGAACCAGTGTTGACAGGGCCAATTCAATCAGGGTGGATGTAGTCCACTCCCAATAACAGATGAGGAGGTGTCAATTCCA